ACAAACAACAGCCAATGGCAATACGAAGAAGCCTTTCAAACAAACATCACAAGTAAGCTTTCAGAAGAGCCTATGTATATGAAGTTATAAACAAGAAGGAGAACCCAAAACTCATTTCTTTTCCATCGAAAATCACAAATCCCTCCAAAAACTTAAGTGATTATTATCAAATTGAATAACTAAACAAGACTACCACACACTTCCTTAAGCTAGCAACAAAAATGCAATATAAGAGACTCCACAGTCAAGACTAAAACCTTGCCACCTTAGTTCTTTCCATAAATTAGTAATGCCAAATCACTATTAATTTTCAAACTTCATACCTATTTTGGCATCTCAAGAAATCATCTAGTGAAAGGACTTAAAAAAAAATTTTTTTTTTTTGAACCACCAACCTCAATTCCAAGAATTTCAGCATTCTCAGCTAAAAACAGAGTCAAATGACTAGTGAGATTAAAGGGTACCATAAGCCACTTCCCGGGTGGCACATTGAGCTGTCCGCCGCCTCTCTTCCCAAGCTTTGAAATTGCCGACACCGCCCTCTCAAACGCCTCCGTGTTAAGCGTCACCCCATCTCCAACTCCCCCAAAATCAGTCAAATTGAATGCAACGGGCCGCAACCTCGGCATGGGTCGACCCGAACCCACCCCCCTGAAGAACGAGAATCTAACCCCCACAGCATTCCGCTGCCAGAGAAAGACAGAGACGAACGCGGCAATCCAAAGAACAGCGAAAAGGGTCTTGTAATAAGTTGACAGAAAAGCTGGGACCAGCCGCTTAAATTCGAACCTCTGCTGGTGCAACTGAAACCGGCCGAGCAGCGGTATCTCCACCATGGCTTGTTTCAGGAGGTGGGTCGTAATGGGTTTTGGTTGGGCAACATGGAACCAGTAGATCTGTGGGTATAAGCAGTCATGATTTGGGTGAGACGTCAGTTATTAGAAGCAGTTGGGCATGGAGGTAGATTTTTTTAATGGAATAGTGAGCTGTGAATTTGAAGTTAGGAGTCGAAAATAGAAGGAGAGGGACTCCGACGGCTCATCGCCGTCAGTGAGAAGAGAGTGCAGACCAAATTCAATTCAAAATTGAAATTCGAGGGTTTTAGGGTGAAATTGAAATGCACGGAATTTACTCATCAGAATTACTCTGTTAAAATACATGTATTTCATCCAAATTTAATTACATTTTATTTAGGTAAAAATAAACAGTAAAATTGAATTTGAGCACTCCAAATTCAAATACACGCTGACAAATTCAAGTTACCAAACAGAGCATAAAAGAATTACCTAATTAAATAAAGAGTCATATTATGTTCTATAAATAAAACCATTTCAATTATACTATATAGTTTTGTAGAATTATCACATAGGGTTGCACAGGTTTCCAATTGCTGTTAAAACCTAGTCACCGCAAAATAAACACAATAAAAAACCCTTCAATTGTGCATAATATAATAACCATAGTTTTGGAAATGTCACATTAACATCGTGTGTTTGGA